AGTAAAACAGTATTATGTACACTAAGAATTAATCGCACTATATTAAAACGCTAATTACACATTGCTAATAGAGTGGCGTTTCACCGAAAATTCGAACCAAATTTATTATCTATACATTTGGTTCAAAACAACTTCATGACCATTCCACGATGTAATACCATCAAGGGAAGACTCGTCGCTAAAGAAAAATCTTTAAGCTCTTTTCAGAAAGCATATTCGATTAGTAAAGAAACAAAGAGATATAAATCCAGGGAAAATCCAGTTTAAAAGAAGACTGTATAAAACACAACGAATATCATCGACAAGAAAAGAACAACCTACACGTATAAATATGTTAAAACTATCGAACGATCATGTATGGTTACATTAAATAAAACGTTAATTTATATTTTAAGTTCACAGGAGAGATCCTAAGAACCATAAAGAATAAAACCAGTGATCATACCTGTGAAATCTCTTGACTGCGGAACCATGTACTTCTGTGCATTTGTTTTGTTTAAATGTGGTACTGAAAGCCATTGTTATCGGGCAATGGAAGTTCTATAGAAAGTTTGCCAAGATTCGTGACCTAAGATTGACCGTGCCGGACAACACTGTGAACTATAACTATCAAATTTAGAATGATAGAAGAGAGAAGACAGTATGTAAACCAAGAACATCATTTTTTTTATAAAGTACAATTAGCCCTTCATATAGGGTTTGTATCATTTTTATATTATCTACTTGTGACGAATGCCACCTTGTCATAGGTAGGAAAAGGTTGTATAACATGCTTCTGTTCCAATATCATTTTATTATTCAGGATTTTTCTGTAATACCTGCTACACTTTGCAATAGAAAAACTTACTGCTCTACTAGTTTCTCTGTCAACTTAATTTTTATAAATGATCAACGCTTTGCTTGAGGAAGAACTAGTTTGATGACTAGTTATTATTACTTCAGGATAGAACTCAGCGGTCGTGAACATCAGCATTCCTTATTGAGGCCCTATATTTCTCTACTTTAACGGCTATTCTCTTTGATTGATTGTAGACATTGTCACTGGTCAAAGACTAACATGTTTGATATACTTCTGTGTTTTGTTGTGGAAACCAGATATACGGTTCTGAATTAAGAGCATACCTGTAAAACAATGTATTGTTACTTTCAATAGAACTCATTATTATTATTATTGTATTTAAAAACGAGCTAGCTGTACCAGGATACTGCTACTTAATAGATTAATTCAGCCGTATCATGTTACTGTTTAGATAGGAAACTTAACTGTATGATATGTTAATGTTACTTAATATATTTAACCTAGCCGTATCATGTGATGGAAACTATATTTATATTTGATTAGAGAGAAACTTTTAGTTTTCAGTATGACCGTATTTTATGTTACATTTAATAGAGGTTTAGTAATTTACACGTATTTTCCTCTCTAAGAACCTCTTTGTATGAATTTAATTTTACTGGTTTGTAACATTGTGAATGAAATAGCTCAACATGTGTTTTTCAGTTTGATGTCATGCATTTTAAAAATTGGTATTTTTGTTACTAATGGAAATATTTATGATTAAACTTCTAGGATCAGCACATATTATAAACTAACCCTTCTTACACTTAAGTTAATTTCAGTTATTACTAAAACCAATGGCTTGAAAATATTCAACAAAATGTAGCATCATTTTAAAAATTCTGTCAGTTACATACTTGATATTTTTAAGCTTCAATAATATGTTAATGAAGTTTTAACGATTCTAATTACGAACATTAAAACATAAAGTGGTATGAAAATGTTTAACCTTGATCATTACAACATGTATTGAAGATTTACTCGTTAGTTTAACAACCCCAATTGGTCAAAAGATGTTTGAGATTAATTCAAAACCGACTATTAATATATGCTTATGATAGAGGAAATAATAATGCACTTTTTAAAACATAGTTGCTGAGTGTAGAAAAGTTTATCATTAAGAATGGACCAGGATTAAATAAATTTCGTTAACGGGGTAACGATAAATAAGCCAGTGAGAGGCGGCACACAGAAGCCTTAGCAATTAGCTGCTCTTGAAATAAAATATTTTAGTTTTAGATCGATTTATTCAGGACTTACTTTGTGTTACAAAGTTTTATAACCAAAACTCTAAAGACAAGTTGTAAGGAAACGTAATGTGCCTTTATTCTCTTCCAATATTATGTGTTTCCTCCATTTTTTTCTTTAAACTGGATTACTTATAGTGATAATGTCCTTATTGAATCATGACTTACAACTTCTAAATGAGGACATAGTTTTTTTACACGTTATTGTCTTTTACTATGAGCATCATGTTACCGTATTTTACTAAAAATATAGTTGTATCATGTTTCACTATTTTATATTGAGAAATTAGTACTAGTACACGTGAGTTTGCTATACCAAGAATACGGCTATGTCAGATTTCACTGTTTCATGTTACCGTATTTTACTAAGAATATAGTTGTACCAGATTTCGCTGTTTTATATTGAGGGATAAACTGAATCATATTCCTCTTTTTTTCATTGAGACCAAAGCTGTATTACATCTTTCTTATTATTATTGAAAAGGTAACTGTCCTATTGCTAGTGTTTCTGATTGGCGTCGTAGCTGTATTTAAGCTTATTGGTGTCATATAGCTTAATTAGATGTGTTTTTCTTATTTGCAACAGATTTATTCCATTATAACTTATAGTATCTTATAGAAAACCTAGCTGTATTACATATGAAGGAATGTTATAGAAAACCTAGCTGTATTACATATGACGGAATGTTATAGAAAACCTAGCTGTATTACATATGACGGAATGTTATAGAAAACCTAGCTGTATTACATATGAAGGAATGTTATAGAAAACCTAG